ACATGCCTGTTACATGTTTAGTATACTCAATCAACATAACAGCATTCCTAGTAAACACATATTGGTATACAAACCAAATACAATCACAAATCCAATGTACAAAATAGAAAGATAACAAACTGGAGAAAATGAAAAGAAGAGGAAGAAAAAAAGAAAAACAAAATAGATCCACAATTATATCCACATAGGTGCATTAACTCGGTTGTCTACTCTTTGTACTTGCATTGTTTCAATAAACCTCACCACTGGTCTGATAATCCTTCCCGCTCTTGATCTAACTGAAGTCATTAAACCTCCAACATCATTTTGGTTAACAGACTGAACTGTCATCACAGTAGCTGCATCACTTTGACAATCAACATCTGATGATAGCCTATCCAATGTGTTCAAATTTGAATTCGTGTCCAGATCAACTTCATTGCCAATTGAATATGGAAGCCTAACGGAGTCTTCCAACACAGCCAATACAACTGAGTCACTAGAACCATCATGACTCCCCGTCGTTCCTTGTCTACCAACCTCTTCCTCCAACATCTCTGGCCCCTTTTCAGGACCTCTTGAACATTCAAGCTCTGAGACCCATGCTACAGTTCTCTCATCAGCTGCAGGCTGAGGTAAGTGTACTAGAGTTTGGGTTTCTTCACCCCCAACACACTCTTCCGCACTCAAGGGTCCCTCTGCAACATCATCGGGAAGAGGCAGAAAATTTACAGGCATGATCAAGTTACGATGAACAATCTTCACTTTGCCTGTGGAAGAATTCTCTATTTTGAAAGTATTGGTTTCAGCATTTTTGTCAACTACAATGTACAGACTGTTCTCCCAGCGGTCAGACAATTTTCGTTTCCCGCGCTCTCCCTTATTCGCTAACAGAACCCTGTCCCCAACATCTACCGGAGCACCCTTAATCTTTCTGTTATAAAGAGCAGTGTGTCTTTTCAGTTGTTTTCCAGCAGTCATCCTCGCAATTGTCACCGCTTGTTTGAGGTCTTTTAGTAAATCCCTGACATACTCATCATAGTCGACAACATCATTGTCTCGCAAGACTGACCCAAACACCACATCAACAGGGAGTCTTGGAGTCCTGCCAAACATCAATTGAAAAGGTGCATATCCAGTAGTTTCGTGGATTGTACAATTGTACGCAAATGTCAGCGATTTGAGCATCCGAGGCCACCTTTGCTTTGCTGCAGGGGGCAGCGCACGAATCATGTTTCCGAGAGTCCTATTAAATCTTTCCACCCCTCCATTGCCCATCGGGTGATACGGAGTGGTGTGTGACTTTTCCACACTTGCAACAGACAATAGCTCAGAAATTAATGCGCTTTCAAAATTTGCTCCTTGATCGGAGTGAATTCGTTTGGGGAAACCATATATACAAAAAAAGTTGTTCCATAACAGTTTGGCAACAGCTTTGGCCGACTGATTTGGGCAATGAAAAGCATGTGCTAACTTTGTAAAATGGTCAGTGACAACAAGAACATCTACTGACTTATTCTTGCAGTCCTCAGCTGATCAAAAGTCAACACACACAAGCTCCAAGGGTTCAGATGTGACAATGTTGTCAAGAGGAGCTCTAGCCTCTGGCTCAGGAGATTTACCATAGACACACCTCTTACAACATTTGACATAATCTCTCACATCCTTCTCAAGTTTATGCCAAAAAAAACGTTGTCTCACCAGATACAATGTCCTTTGTTGGCCCTGATGACCAGCATCATCATGAACCCCCCTTAACACGGTCCCCACCAACAGTTTTGGGACAACATACTGGAACGTCTTTTTCTTTGACACTACATCCTTCGAAACTCTGTAAAGTATCCCTGCTCTCATCACAAATTTATTCCAGGATCTGAGCAGCCTTACAACTTCCACTGGCTCCCGTTTACACTCGCGACTAGAGGGTTTCTTACCCCTCTCCACATAAGAAATCACTCTAGCCAATATGCCGTCAGTCTGCTGCCTCTCCGCCAACTGTTCGTGGGACAGGCCTTTCAGTTTTGGTTGATCTGTGGGCACAATGTGGTGAATCAACTGTGGTAACAAAAGGTCACAATGTGGGGTAACCACATTAGACCTCTTTGCCTCCATGACTGCAGACACTTCCATCGCAGACCAAGAACCAGATGGTTCACTTACAGGTGTTTGGGAATTTACTACCAACATAGCATGAGTTGGCTCAATACCAGTGCCAGGCTCAAAAGGGTGCGCAGACCATCTGAAAACTTCTTGCACTTGTTCCCCCTGGACTGCTGCTGCCTCCTTCAACAGTGAGTTATAAGGTACCCTAGTAAGACGATGCAAGGCGCTCTGCTTCACAAAAGGCTCTCTGCTAAGAGCATCTGCAACAACATTCCTTGAACCAGCTATGTACCTAATATCAAACTGATATGGAGCCAACTTGGCAACCCACCTGTGCTCGCAAGCATCCAGTTTCGGCTTTGTCAAAATATATGTCAGTGGGTTGTTATCGGTCCATACTGTGAAGGGCCGACCTCTCAACCAGTGACTAAATTTGTCACATACAGCCCACTTCAATGCAAAAAATTCTAGCCGATGCGCTGGATATTTTGACTGGGCAAACGAAAGTGACTTACTGGCGAAATAAACTGGCCTTGCTGTATCCCCATTCTCTGGCACTTGTGAAAGTACGGCACCCAGGCCACTACTGGAAGCATCCACTGAAACTAAAAATGGCCTGTTGAAATCTGGATGAGCCAACAAAACACAGTCAATCAGGGCTTGCTTAAGACGACTAAATGCCTGCCTGCAATCATCAGTCCAATCCCCTGCAGTGAGTGATCTTTTCGTCATGGTCTTCTTACCCTTTTTCGATTTCTGACCCTTAGGACCAGCAATCAACTGGAAAAGTGGCCTTGCAATTACTGAACACTGTTCTATAAACTGCTGGTAATATACAACCATCCCAAGAAAAGAACGTATCTTCTGTTGAGATGGGGCACCAGTTTTCTCATCCATAAGGTCTGACTCATTCATTTCAATAATCACCTTGATTTTATCAGGGTCTGAGGCCACACCCCCCTCGCTGACCACATGACCAAGGAACTTCACAGACCCTTGCATAAAATGACATTTCCTTGGAGCTAATTTCAAATTATGAGATTTCAGGCGCTCAAAAACCAACTCCAATCTCTTTAAACCCAACTCTTCATTCGGAGCAAAGACAAGCACATCATCTAAGTAACAGAGAAGACTCAGGAAATTTTGGTCTCCAAAAATTCCGAGCATCATTCTCATAAAAGTCGCTGGACTGTTACAAAGTCCCTGAGGAAGGTGGTTATACTCATATAACCCAAAAGGGGATGTGAAAGCAGTGTATTTGCGGTCTTCCTCATGTACTTCAACATTGTAGTAACCAGATGTCAGATCCATAGTAGAAAAAAAAACATTGCCACCCAGCGCAGCTAAAGCATCGGCTTGATGTGGCAGTGGATGAGCATCCTTTACAGTTCAAGTATTGAGCCACCTAAAATCAGTGCAAAGCCTTAAATCTCCATTTCTCTTCCAAACAATAACAAGAGGGGAAGCATACTCACTACTGGATCTTCTAATAATTTCCCTCTCCTCCATTTCGTCCAAAGCTTGCCTGAGTTTATCGTACTGATTAGGTGGAAGCCGTCTGTATGGCAGCCTAAATGGACGCTCATCACTCAGCCTTATCCGATGTACATAGCCCTCAGCCTTGCCACAATCAAGTTTATGTCTAGAAAAGATACATTCGTACTTTGCAATTAGATCAACAAGTTTTTCTTTCCATTCTTTAGACAACTGACAGGAGCTCAAATCAATGTCTGCAAGCCCCAGGTTTCCTAACCTGTCACGGAACTCACAGTCTTTCTTGGGTACACTGATATCAGACAAACTGCCAGCACTTGAATTGTCCGGAAACTCTACATTGTTGGCATGTTGTCTGATTGAGCATGACAACCCTACATTTGTGACACACGCATCAGGGTCAAAATCTTCCAGTGCCAAACATGGATAAATGTCAGCCAACTTTGCATTACGTCTGAGAGTGATGGACACTGGCGAGGGGTTAATTACCTTAACAGGCACCCATCCATCGGCCCACAACCTCGCCACTGTACGACCAATCAGGACATTTCTGGGTCTTGAGCGGGCTCTGCATGGCTCTGCAATGATGGCACTGCCAGCTGACAAATTGTTTAGATTAGAGAGTTTTGCCCAGACTAAATGCTCCTGTAGAGGTTCAAGTGTTACTGAATTTTTCAGTTTAACTGTTCCAACCTTTTCTGGGACAACTGTTCCGTTCCACCTCTCAACATTAGCCAGTAACTGAATAAGTTTGCTATCCTCAGAATTTATATTCACATCGGATGTCATTTTTTCCATCACTTTTCCCTGCTTTTTCAACTCTTTGATCAGGTGTTTTATCACGTTACTGCCCACAATGAGTTCATCAACTTGGCCGTCTACGATTAAGGTCGGAACCTGAACAACACACCCATAAACAGTCATGTTTATGTCACACATACCGACTGGTTTTGTTTTTGACCCCCCACAGCCGACCAGTACTACGTCAGATGGAGTCACAGAACCATTCAAGGCTACGCCAGCATCCTGTAATTTAGACACAACCACAGGACTCAAAGTGCAAGCCATGGAACCACAATCAATCATACCTTTAACAGTCAATGTGTTCTCTAACAAAACGTCAGTATAAAACAATCCCTCATGCATTGACAGTTTTTGTGTATTTTGAACTATCACAGTCATGTTTTGGTCAATTTCCTCACACACAGTAGAGTATAATGATTCTAGATCGACATCAAATACTTGGGGAGCTTCACAAGGCCCAGCATCCCCCCCCACCACATGCGGGCCTTTTAGTTTCCCTGCCGGCCAGGGGGGCATGCTGCCGGCGAGTTCCCGGCATGTCCATCAGCAACAGTATTTGGGCACTCAAAACGTGTGTGATTTGGGGTATAGCATACAAAACAGAGCCCATTTGCCCGACAATGGTAAGAGGTGGAATGGTTAAAGTCCCCACAAACCTTACACGCCCCCCGTCCATCCCCTCTATTTTTGGGCCTCGGTCGAAAAGGTTTTTCTGTAGGTTTTGTCGGACCACTTGGAACCCTTTCCAACACATGTTCCAATCGTGTAATCAGGCGCTCCAAAGATTCAACGGAACTGCAAGCAAAGGACTGCTGAACTTGAGGAGCGTTACTTTTGGCTGCAGCAACCTCACCATCGCTAACCTCATCGTGAACAGAAGGTAAGGTTTGCATTACGGTTTCTTGTTTTTGAACTAAGCATGACAACTGATTTCAGGTATATTTGGTTTCTCTTTGAAATTCACCCAGCCTTTCTTGCACTTCGGCAGCTGTCCAGTGTTGCTGAGGTTTACATCTGAAAATCAGCTGCAAATGGGGGTCTGGGCAATGTCTAACAAACATGACTGTTACTTCCTGAGATGGATTATCAAGTTTCTTCCCTTGTCTTTTCAAACAGTCCTCTGCTACATCCATTGCCCTATTTAACCTTATCCAATAGTCAAATGGGCTCTCCCCTTTTAGGGGCAAGGTAGCATAAAAATCAGCCAAAGGCATAGCAGAGTACACTGTGTCGCCGAAATGTTGTTTCAGGATGTTAAAAATAGGTCCGGGGCCATCACTTAAGTCAGTTTTAGCATAATTGCGTAGGGCTATTTTAACAACATCACGTGCCCTCCCCATTAATCGGCTCAGAACTTCATCAGCCTGACATTCTTGGCTATACTCACGTTTACGCAAGTATACTGACATCAATTCCACCCATTCATATATTGTGCATTTATCAGAACCATCCCCACGATAGTATGCTGGCTCTTTAACATCAGATTGTAATACCAGCTTCAAATTTTGCATTTCAGAGGGAACACTGCTGCCAGCATGTCCCGCTCTCGATTCCAGACAAGATACAATATTCTCACTGATGGATTGACCTATTTGTTTCACAACAGTGGCCAACATATCCATAGAAATACTGCCCTCTGCAGTTGCAGTCCTTAATTCATTCACTTCTGTCACATTACCCTCAGGCTGATTAATTGGATGTGTTTCCCCACAAATTTGATAGTTTACCCGTGGCGTGGAAGTTAGTGGGTAGCCGGAAAACCCCCTACCAGCAGAAAATGTTACATCAGTTTGATACACACCTCTCCCTCTACCCAGGCCTGGCATGTAAAATTTCTCCATTAAATTTTGCATTTCAGAGGGAACACTGCTGCCAGCATGTCCCGCTCTCGATTCCAGACAAGATACAATATTCTCACTGATGGATTGACCTATTTGTTTCACAACAGTGGCCAACATATCCATAGAAATACTGCCCTCTGCAGTTGCAGTCCTTAATTCATTCACTTCTGTCACATTACCCTCAGGCTGATTAATTGGATGTGTTTCCCCACAATTTTGATAGTTTACCCGTGGCGTGGAAGTTAGTGGGTAGCCGGAAAACCCCCTACCCACAGAAAATGTTACATCAGTTTGATACACACCTCTCCCTCTACCCAGGCCTAGCATGTTAAATTTCTCCATTTTTTATTTTTTTTTACACTACTGAACCCAAAAATAAACAACCAACCCACAACAATAAAAGTAACGTATCCAAAACAGTAAATATTTCAGATAATGTGCATATCAATCAAATTTTTGAATAATCAAGGTCCCAATCCATTAATTATGCTCAGTTTTATGTTCATATATGCGTGTGCAGTAGTGTACGCAACCACCTCGTCTTCACTTCCAAGCTCCGCCCCGCGTTGATGCTCTGAACTCTGCTCCGCGCTAGTCCTTCGACGTCCGCTGTGCACCGATGCTTGGATGTCCGCCTCGCGCCAACGCTGAGTTCCTCCTGGCGTCACACGTCCGACACGGATGCTCAAAAGACCGATCACGGCACCAATGTAACTGGTCTCTTATCCTCTTTGCGTTGTGTTGTGGCAATAAAGCTCGTGCTTCAATAAATTGTCTCTCATTCATCAATTTATTCTCTGAGAAAACACAGTAACACAGAATGAGTTGATATAGGCCTATTCCAGCATATTCGACGCCTCGTGCTGGCACGCTGGCCTTACACACATGAACTGATAAGTGCAATAGAGTTGAACAAGTTCAGAAATATAACCCATGATTCAAAATAATGCATTCTCACAAAATCAAAACATAACTACATTTATTTAAATGAGGGAAAAAAACTTCACTGGTATCGGATCGGTATCGGCCAATACCGAACCCTAGGTATCGGAATCGGTATCGGGAGGCGAAAAAGGCGGATCGGAGCATCCCTACTATGTAGGATGGATAGTATGCGAATTGGGATGCAGCACAAGTTATGATAAAGTAGTATGTCCCAAAGCTTGCCTACTAATCTGCTACATACTCAAAAAAGTATGTACTTTTTCTTCACAAAAAGAGTACATACTTTTAGGGTATAGTATAAGTAGGTGAATTGGGACGCAGCAAATCTGATGAAATGCTTCTTAGCGCCACTTATATATGGGGCGTTTTTCCGCCCCCTTTTCGCGCATTCGATCGCCATTGGCGATTGCGAGCGAATAAGTCTTCAGGATTTGAAGAGAAAGGTGTCTCTTTCTCTTACGCTGTCCGCAATGTCTCGTTCCCTACTCAGGGAACCTAGGTTACGTTAGTAACCGGAGATGTTACCATGATTTAACTATAGTAACTATAGTTTTTTGGTTTTATTTATAGTAAAACCATGGTTCATTTTCGTATGAGTAAAAAATGTGATTCTCGTAATACTTAACAGAGAAACTTTCGAGAATCTTTCACATTATGAAATGAGTTTCTCACAAGAATTAGAAACTTAAACTTCAAAACTTTGTGTTACTTTTGTTAACATAGACTGTAAGTGGTAGGAAAAATGGTAAATGTCTGTAAACAGAAAAAAGCTTTTTAGCCAGTCAGGGAACTATAGCCAATCATAAACGTCAATCCTTTTTCACTATCAGGTTTGGTGACATAGCATTGGATGAAATGTTTTTAGAAGGTGGGGTTTAGATTGGGACTGTGAGTTTGAAGTAAGCAAAATGGCTAGAATTCTTGACATCGTCATTTGTAAACCAGTTACATGTAACATTTCTCAGGAAGGTAGGCTATATATATTCATTTAGTCGATTAGTTGCTCATTTACTGCTATCTGTCTAGATAGCTTAAAATAAACTTTATTTATCCCATAGAAGGAGCATTTAATATAATGCTTCTAGTGTGCAAGACTGACTATATGATTACATATCCTAGCAGATGATCACTGCACATTAAATGAAACATTTGAATAAAGATTAAGCTCCATGGTAGGACTACTAAAGAAAACTCTTCTACTCTTCCCTTCCTTTCCATCTCCTGGGTCTTAATTGTGTATTCACAAAGGAACAAGAACATTTGCATATATATTCTGGACACGTTCCTGTTTAATTATGCTAGTGTGTATAACAACATTTATCCTTATTTCGTACTCTTTGGAAAAGAGGGAGTTTTTGGCTTCCAAGACAAAAGCTGCTCATTTGGTATCTCCTGTGGAATTCTCTCTTACAAATAGGCTACCTACAGGAATTTCATCCCATGAAATCCCGCAAACTTATTCTGAAAGAGGGGTCCAAGTCATATCCAGCAACCAGAATATCATTTTTTTTTTTTTACAAATCTAGTTCAAATTAATTTATGTTGTTAATGGGCATCCATTTTTGTTAATATTGTGCTCTCAACAGCAAATGTGATCACGTGACTCCAGGACAGTCACAGATCAGGCCTTTTTCTGAGTCAGTCACATCAAGTGAGTACAGCAGAGGTTGCAATGCCCTTTCTCATCACTCCTTGTGTCTTCTATTTCAAGCTGTGGCAGTTGATTTTTACAAGCCAAAGATCTTACATTTCAAGAACAAATAAGTATATTAAAGGTTTTCTCTGTTTTTTTATTTATTTATTTTTTCTCGTTGTTGAGTACTATGGTGTGGAAGCCCGTTTCCGCCACAGTTCAGAAAAAATATGATTCTGTAAGTCATAATAACGAGAAACTTTCTCGTAATAATGACTTAGTTTCTCGTAATAATTAGAAACTTTCTCAAAAAGCCTATGATATTTTTGAAGATGGAACATGTTTCACTTTCCAAATAAAATGTGTTTAATAACTTGTGATTTGTCTTCCAAGTATTAGAAATTTGTCAGTCCATGATAAAAAGCAGTCTGCGCTACTGGCTGTGAAGCCTACCGCTTACCTTACATGTTCGTTCCACTAAATGCTGCTTTGAAGCCCTCGTTTTATGTTTCATATATTTAAATTGCCAGATCACGATCTCGATTCAATCACTCACGCAATCTTATTCCTAAATGACAATGATTCCGTTAGACTATTAAACCTTTGACAAGTACGATCACACTATATCTGCATTCACACTGCCGCTGACCCAGAGAGAACAGCAGGTATGAAACAAGTTCACAAACTTCAACCACACAGTATCATTATTTCTGTGTTACAAATATTCAAATAATGAGAGAAGTAAGGGGACAAAAGTTTATAGTTTAGATATAAACACTGATTTCATCCATAATGATCAAAACAGAGTAAATCACCTTTTAAAAGTGACTTGACGCTTCAAATTAATATTATATCAATTGCAATATAAAATCAGTAGGTGACTGTTAAAAAATATTGATTCATCTAGGAATTAAACAATTAAGTTTTGGAGTGAGTCATTGAATCATTCATTCAAACTGATTTTTTAAAATAATTTGTTGAATATTGAATATTTTTAAATAGACTGCAACAATTAACATTTGATCAGAACCTGTAGTAAATTACATTGTTATTTTGTTTAGTTGTCTTCTTTTCAGAATTGTGGGAGCATCATGATCTCTGTTTTAAAGTGTGTGGTGGTGGTGGGTGGGGCAATGCCCCTGGTTCAGGTCTGGAGATTGGGCTGATCATGCAGGGTCTTGATCTGGTAGTCTTCCATCCACACCTTGATTAACCTTGCTTTGTAGCATGGAGCATTGTCCTGCTGGTAAAATCCTCAGAGTTGGTGAACATTGTCAGAGCAGAAGGAAGCAAGTTTTCCTCCAGGACAACCTTGTACGTGGTCTGATTCATGTGCCCTTCACAAAGACGAATATGCCCGATTCCAGCCATGCTGAAGAACCCCCAGATCATCACCGATCCTCCACCAAATTTCACAGTGGGTGCGAGACACTGTGGCTTGTAGGCCTCTCCAGGTCCCCA